ACCCAAAGAACTGTTAAGAAAAATATTTATGGAACTAGTCAGACCTGGTAGTTCCCCATAAGTAAGGCAAAGGTGGCAGGTGGGTGGGTTGTAGTGGGAAGTGTCCCAGATCAGACCGGGTGGGTCTTGCTGAGGTGGCGGGGCAGGGGTGATCACGGTGGGTGGAGGAATACTGAGGAGTGGGCGAAGGTGAAATCCCATCACGACGGCCACCATTACGATGTCACTTCTTGAACCCTTAAGTTATATTAATATCTAAGCCTGAGTTGGCTTTATAGTTAACAATATTGAGTATGTCTGATTCCAAAAGAACAAAGGTTTTAGGGGCAAATATTCTCTAATTGGTGTGAGCAAAAGGCTCACTTGTAGGGGTGGATAGGTTGCATGTTTGAAATGCAGATTTCTAAGTCTTCATCCAGAATTTTCTGATTTAGACAATCTAGGGTAGTGATGCTGAGCCAAGGGTGATTTTGTCCCTCAGGGGACATTCGGTAATATCTGGAGACAGTTTTCATTGTCGCAACAAAAGCCTGGGATGCTCCTAAACATCCCACATTGAACAGGACCGCCCTTCCTAACAAATAATTATCAGACCCTCAATGTCAGTAGGGCCTGGGTTAGAAAATCTTGTTCTAGGGCAAGAGCCAGGTATGTGCGTCTTAACAGGGGCCTCAGGAGATTTTAATGCAGGAAGCGAAAGCTTTACACAAAGTCTGTCTTTCTGATACAAGGGCTTCAATATCAGAGTTCCCTTTTTGCCCATCCTTTTGTCATATTTAGGACTCAGCTTTGACTTACTTCTCCCCTTGAAGCCCCGTCTGGTAACCATCCTTCCTTTCACAAAGTTCAGGGTAATTGCCCCTTCTAAGAACACCTTCATCACCCTTATAACCAACTGATCTTCAACAAAGCATATAAAAGCATAAGTTGGGGAAAGGACACTCCATTCTAGTGGTCCCCAATCTTTTTGGCACCAGAGACCAGTTTCATGGAAGACAGGTTTTCCACGGATCAGGGCAGGGTGGATGGTTTGGGGATAAACTGTTTGATCTCAGGTCATTAGGCATTAGATTCTCATAAGGAGTGTGCAGCCTAGATCCCTTGCATTCACAGTTTACTATAGAGTTGGAGCTCCCATGAGAATCTAATGACCCTCCTGATCTGACAAGAGGTGGAGCTCAGGCTGCAATGCTTGCTCTCCTGCTGCTCACCTCCTGCTGTGCCACCTGGTTCCCAACTGACCATGGACAGGTACTAGTCCATGGCTCAGGGGTTCGGGACCCCTGCCCTATTCAATAAATGGTGCTGGGAAAATTGGATAGCCACATATAGAAGAATGAAACTATCCCTGTTTCTGACCATATACAAAAATTAACTCAAGATGGATTAAAGACTTTAAATATAAGACCGGACACCATAAATATTGTAGAAAAAAACCTAGGCAAATTTTTCTGGACATTGGCTTAGGCAAAGAATTTATGACTAAGCTCTCAAAAGCAAATGCAACAAAAACAAAAATAAATAAACGGGACCCAATTAAACTAAAAACTTCTACACAGTAAAAGAAACAATCATCAGAGTAAACAGACAACCTACAGTATCGGTGAAAATATTTGCAAACTACACATCTGACAAAGGACTAATATCAAGAATCTACAAGGAACTCAAACAAATCAGCAAGAAAAAAATAATAATCTCGTTAAAAAGTGGACAAATGACATGAATAGACATTTCTCAAAAGAAGGTAGACAAATGGCCAACAAACATAATGAAAAAATTTGCAACATCAATAATCATCAGGTAAACGCAAATTAAAACTGCAGTGATATATCACTGCACCCTAGCCAGAATGGCCATTATTAAAAAGTCAAAAACAACAGTTATTGGTGTGGATGAGGGGAAAAGGGAACTCTTATATGCTGCTGGTGGGAATGTAAATTAGTACAACCTCTATGGAAAACAGTATGGAGATTTCTTAAGGAACTAAAAGTAGATCTATCATTTGATCCAGCAATCCCACTACCAGGTATCTACCCGAAGGAAAATAAGTTGTTATGTCAAAAAGACACCTGCACGTGTATATTTATTGCAGCACAATTGCAAAGATATGAAATCAACATAAGTGCTTATCAACTAATGAGTGTATAAAGCAAATGTGGTGTGTGTGTGTGTATACACACATATGTACATATATATACATATAGACATATGTATACACTATGGAATACTACTCAGCCATAGAAAAGAACACAACTATGTCTTTTGCAGCAATTTGGATAGAGCTGGAGGCCATTATTCTAGGTGAAGTAACTCAGGAATTGAAAACCAAATACTGCATGTTGTTGTTTATGAGTAGGAGCTAACGCATGGGTCCACAAAGGCATACAGAGAGGTATCGTAGACATTGGCAACTCAGAAGGGAAGAGGATGGGAAGGGGGTGAGGAATGAAAAACTACCTGTTGGGTGCAATGTACGCTACTCGTGTGATGGGTGCACTAAAATCCCAGACTTAACCACTGTGCGATTCGTCCCTGTAACCAAAAACCACTTTTACCCCTAAAGCTATTGAAATTAAAAGAAAGAAAGCAGGAAGGAAGGGAGGGAGGGAGGGAGGGAGGGAGGGAGGGAGGAAGGAAGGAAGGAAGGAAGGAAGGAAGGAAGGAAGGAAGGAAGGAAGGAAGG